TTTTAACGTTACGTTTAGTTTTTACGTTTACGTAACGTAACTAAGTAANAAACTAATAAGTATATATATATATATATAGTATATATANATATATAGTATGTAACAATCGGATTATTATTTACACATTAGCAAACAATCTATAGTTATCGGCATCCAAATAGATCTGACGAACTGCAGACACTGCCCCGATCAATCCAACGGCTGAGAAAACAAGGGCAATTGTGGTATTTCCCCAAAAGAGGAAGCTCTTCTTTGATGGGGCAAATGTGGTATTATAGAAAACAACCGGCAAAACAAAGTCCAAGGGGATAAATCCAAAAGCCCCAATCAATGCGTTGATATCTCCGAAGAAGGGTAGCATTGCGGCCAACAAGGTGGCCAATGCCACCGAAATTGACCGCAATATTAACCTGGGAATAACATTTCGGGGCGAGAATTCGGCGCTCATAGCATCGCCGAATTTTCTTTCCAAAACTTCATTCGTGGGTTGCAAGTACACCTGCCAAAATGAATTATTCCCTCAATACATGTAAAGTAATAAAGCCTCACCTCATAACTCATTGAAAATTACAATTCCAAGCATTGAAAATTTTTTATATCGATCATCTCGTTTTGAACGTTATGGATGTCAAAAAAAAAAAGATTTGAAGCTCTAAAAATAGTTCATCTTATAACAGATTATCTAAACCGTCCATTTCATCTTAAAAATAAGTGTTTATAGATTCACAAGATCTATACCATTATTTGAATGTCAAATTTTATTGTCGGTGTTGGAGATTGTTTTTAGAGCTATCATGGTATTTTTTATTACCGAAAGTGTTATCCGGACGATGATTTGAGGTGAGTCTTTCTTTTGTTTCCCTAAAGCCTAGGGCTTATAAAAACTTCATTAATACGTAAAACTAGGGACCCTTTCTCTTGCTAATCAAAAGAAAGAAAGAAATATTAATTAAATATCAAAAGATAAAAAATGAGAGAAACTTATAGAAATGCACTTAAGAGAACTATTTAATAGTTTATTTTTATCCCACTTTAAACAACCTATAATAAAACACATGATCGTGAGTTCGAATAATTGAAAATGGGGAAAATATTAAGAACAATTGTTTCATGAAGGTTGGACTGCATTTGTACAATATGCGGTCATGAGGTATGAAGCATTCATCTTAAAGATGGATGCAAATTGGTGGTCCATCTAAAAACAATTGAAACTAACTGTCCAAATGTTTCCTTAGTAGAATTATTAATTGTAGTTTTCAAATTTTATTTATTTTCTCATATTCATGATCTCCATGTTAAAGATTACATATTTTCTAAAAATTAAGAGCAAATTCTATTTCAAAATTAAATTTATTATGGGCCCACACTTCTACATGCGCAGGTTTGACCGCATGATAACCGCGTCTATATATTAAATAGTTGATATTTCGTACGCTTTTTGATCAATTTCTCAAAAATCAATATGCCCGATGGAAATGAAAGAAACAAAAATAACAGTAAAACCACCTCAAAAATTATTAAATTACGTGAATGCATACCTCTCCAACCATGACACTAAAAAATGTCTAACTCGTCCTCATTTTGGATTTCAAATTTTGTACTCGAAGAACTCCTTGCATCTTTTCTTGTGGTTCAAATGACTTAAGTGGGTTAAGTTTATATAGCATTGTTCTAAGTTCAACTCATAAAATAAGTTTTTCTAAAAACAAAAAAAAAAAAAAAAAAACTACGATTTCGAGCCCACAGCAAAGAGGGGTATTTAAGTTATTCGATTACGACAATACTTCTTCTATTTGGTCATAGTTAGAAACTCATAACAAAGACAGACTAAATAATTTTTAACAAAGCTTTTAAAGAAGTATCTGAACAAAGTGATTTTTAAAAAGAGAGATAAATGTTGGAAAAAAATTAACTTACCACACCAACAGCTGATACTTGAAGGAGTGCAAAAAGGTTAGAGAGGACGAGGAGCCACTTGGGGACAAGGGCTTTTCCATCAACAAAGAAATTGGCCAGGATTGTACCCCCTGCCTTGTTTCCAAATGCCCAATACCCAGAAATGGCAACACTAAAGAATGTAACAAAGACCACACTGTAACAAACTAATAGTCCCTTAAACATTTTCCCTTTCACTGGTGGTGCCAATGTTGCCTGAAAAAGAAAAAACAAATGTAATATGAAAGCCTTATGAAATGTTTTTATTAGTGTTTTATGTTCCCGAAATATAGGCTTTATGTATAAAAGGGGAACTCGCGACTATCTGATATAAATTAGATGGCTAGGAGTGAGCTGACAAAAATATAATAGGCTAGTGATATGTCGTAATAATTAATGTGTGGCGTGCTGCAATATTAAAGTCTAACAGTTGTTGTCTCTAGACACATAAGTTATGCGTGTGGAGACCCACAACTGTTAGATCTTGATGGGACTGCTCTAAGAAAGATAACAACGATATTTACTAGATGTGTTTGTCAATCATAACTAATGCTTGACATTGTCGCTAATTCACTCCTAGCCATCCATTTTTTTCCCTAAATACATATAAATCATGCATGTGAATCAACCAAAAGCATGGCTTGTAAATAAAAGGAACAAGTTGCAAGTATGGGCAAGCTTTGTTCATATCTCTATCACATATATTTCTTGTTGTTTAGAGATACACATACATAAGATGCCATCGGATCTTGACTAGGTAGATGAGAGTAAGCCAACAATAATGTTATATATTAACTATAACTTAACACAATAATTGTCATTATCTTTTGACATTGTTGGCAGTTCATTCCTACCCATCCGATCAAAATCAAACTGTTGTGCCACTCCATGATCTGTATTTCATATCATATATGCGGTCGGAGACATAAAAAAGTGTCCCAAACAATATCACGCAAATTTGAGTTTTCTTTTTAGAGAGAGAAAATGAGTTTTCTTTCTAGAGAGAGAAAATGTGAAATCTTCCAAACCTGTATTTCTGGGATGATACCATTCCCATAGGTGGTTGCTATGATGGCCATGGCATTGAATCCTGCAAACATGCGACTTGCAGTGTCTCCATTGAGAGAATAGTCTTTATGAGCATCACTCGAATTTCCTATTGATTAAACATTGTAGTAATGTTACCTCACAACCAAGCAAATACTTGTCCTCATATGTTGATAATTACATACACAAATATTAAGATTGTTATCAACAACATATGTGGATTTTTTTTTATCTTGTAGCAATAGTTTTGAGCTTGTAAAAGTAATTTTGGAAAAATAATGACCCTATGATGAAAATTTAAGGTAACTTGCTTCCTACTCCAATTTAATATCTATTTTTTCCAATGATAAACACAAAATAGAAATTTAATTAGTGACATGCATGTAACAGGGATTCAAATTGGAGAAGCAAATCCTCCCTCTATAAACACCCCATATTTGTCAATTCTAAAAAATTCTCTCATGCTTTGAGGATTATTACTTTCATCGAAAGCCCAAGCTCTAATCCCCGAATTTTAAAATATCTTTAAAAAATAACTTTTTAGACATTTTTACATCTTGGAAATTATAGTAGAAATGTTTGTCCCATGGGCCTCTTGTAGTATCCACTGAAAACATCATATTAAAAAAATGCTGATTCGGATCAGAATTGCCCGATCTGAATTGGTTATTAGTGGGACAAGTCCGATTTCCACCATGTATCAGGAATTGTTTGGTTCTCGATAAAAACCGCCCGATTCTCAATTCTGTCAGGGACCAGTCAAGTCAGCCACATCTTTTATTTTTTATTACTTTTTCAATTTTTTATTTTATTCTACTTTTTTTTGTTCTTTTAGTGGCTGATTCACTTGGCCATTTCACTTATTCAGACCACCAATCTGTTGATCCATATTGGCTATTTGGATAAGCGACCCGAGTCACCGATCCGTTTTGTTAAAATCCCGATCGATAATGAGCAAAGATGCTTACCAACATGGATGGATCCAGCAGTGGCACATGCACTATAACCAAGAGCGAGAATTAGGGAAACCAAATTTATGTGTCTCAAGGCATGGAAGGAGGGAACTTGAGCCAACACCAACATGAGGCATCCAAATATCATTACGAATTCGAATAGCTTCATTCCCCCGTTTGGATGGTTGATTAAGTATATGGACTGCAAAATTTTCTCAAAGTTATATCATATCAATATAGAAGAGATCTATTTTAACTTTTCAATCACCAAATTATTTTTCTAGAATTTGGTCCATTTAACATCAGCAGTGGAAAACCTAAGCTACGAAGTATATATGGACCACTCTTGTTAGGATTGGATTGGCCACCGAACCGGTCTAGTTAAAAGCGGTTCAATTGCTGATTTGATTTGAAAAAAATAGAATAACAATTTAAAAAATAAATTATATTATAAAAGGGAAAGTATAGAATGAGATCATTTACATGTAATACAAGTATGTCACATTAATCTTGACCATTGGATGTGAAATTGGGTGGGTGCAATTATTCCATTGACTAAGCTGAGACTTCAAAAGAAATTTTATCGAACTTTGTGACACATGCAAGCTATCAAATTTCACATCAAATAGTTGTAAATAATTATGACCATCTTGTATCAAAAGTAAATGGTCTTATTGTATTCAATCCCTTATAAAAACCAATGCCCAACTTTATTTAACTAGTATGACTCTTGAAAATTGGTAGGTCCAATCTACCAAACCTAGTCAAACATTTATTTTGACTAATTTTTTATTAAATCCGATTTTTGCTATGAATCGGCAGGCCAAAGCACTATCTAATGGTCTGGATGGTCAAACTAGTGTTTTGATCTAGTCTTAATGACTACGATACAACCAATCAGACCATTCCATCAATCTTTTGTCAAGAACTTATAAGCTTGGGCTTTAAAAAATAGATTGTCTACAAAGAGACATTTATCTTTTGTGTATGGAGGTTACAACTATTATCATTCATTAGATGTCAAAATGGATGGCTTGGGATGAGTCATGAAGTCTGGTAATTTTATTTATGTTTTGAACTTTGTGTGTATTCAATGTCATTCTTACAACCACCCATTTTGAAATTTAAGGGACAAGAATGATTGTGACTTTTATATACAAAAGATAAATGGTTTCTTTGTAGAGAATCCCTTTAAAAAATGTGGCACTTTTTTTCCCTTAGAAAAATATGGAGGATTAAACCCAAATGATTTTTTGGGATTGTACATTATAAGAACATTTATTATTGTTACAAAAGATTACAATCACTCTTAGTCATTAGATGTCAAATTTAATGGCTTGGGATGTACCATGATCTTAGAAAGCAAAAGTGATTCCCGTAGTAGCAACGAGCGAAATGGGAGCAGCCTAAACCGTGAAAATAGGGTTGTGGGAAAGCAATACAAGCATTACTGTACTGCACCCTAGATGGCAAGAGTCTAATAGCCGAAAGCCTTATTTGCTTACGCTCTGACCCAAGTAGCATGGGGCGCGTGGAACCCCGTGTGAATCAGCAATGACCACCTTATAAGGCTAAATGCTCCTGAGTAACCGATAGCAAAGTAGTACCGTGAGAGAAAGGTGCAAAGAACCTTCATCAGGGAGTGAAATAAAACATGAAATTATGAGCTTCCAAGCAGTGGGAGGAGAATTTGATCTCTGGCTGCATGGCTATTGAAGAATGAGCCAACGACTCATAGGCAATAGCTTGGTTAAGAGAACCCATTGAAGCCGTAGCGAAAGCAAGTCTTCATAAGGCAATTGTCACTACATATGGATCCGAACCTAGGTGATCTATCCATGATCAAGATAAAGCATGACCAGGATAAAGCTTGGGTGAAAATCGAAAATTTTTATTTTAAGTTTGAATATATTCAACGACATACTTACAACCACCTAAATTAAAATCTTTGTGTATACTTTTTCATATTTTTACCTCATATTACGCCTTTCCAATCTTATAAAACATGAACTAAATGTAACTATTTTGGGCAAACGGGTCCCCCTCTCAAATTCTCATTAACCATGAAACCAAAATTTTTAGCCGAACGGCATTATTGTTCCCTCATTTTCTTCCATTAATAAAGGGAGAAAAGGACAAGAAATAACTCTCTCCCTCCCCTGACTTATTTTGTTTTTTCTCCTTCATCCAAGGAGATCTTCTATAGAAGTCTACTCCCAAAGATGGCCGACTCATCAAATGATATATGTCTCTCCATTTTTTTTAAGGACATGGTTTCTATGAGTCCAAGTTGATGTCTCTTCATGTTTTTTAAGGACATGGTTTCTATGAGTCCAAGTTGATGTCTCTTCATTTTTTTAAGGACATGGTTTCTATGAGTCCAAGTTGATGTCTCTTCATTTTTTTAAGGATATGGTTTCTATGAGTCCAAGTTGAAATGAGTAGATGCCTAAAAATTTATTTTTCATATTGACTTTCAGACCAAACTTTTAAAGATATGTAATCTTTCGAGAGGGGATTCGTGAGAGAGAGTACTTATAGAATAAATAAATTTGGGGGGCGAAAACGAGGGCAAGGGGGTAGAGAGAGAGCAATATACATAATAAAAAATTATTTTCTGACTCTAATTAGTTAAGAAAAGACTTTGACGATTCTCTTTATAAAAATTAATCAATTAGATACTTCTTATAGAATAAAATTAAATAGAGAGGAAAGAGGTTAGAGCTATATTATGTAAATAAAATAAGGTACAGAGAGAGAGAGAGGCACCTTCATGCTTTGGCCTCCGAGCAAGGTACAACCAACGACCGCACCATAACAAACCGCAAATTGAATTGGACCCACAAAATATCGAGCCCATCTAGGTCCTGCAAATTCACGTCACACAAGTTTTCAGACACCCTCTCTCTCTCTCTCTCTCTCAATACATGTTTTTTATCCCTCCTGCTCTCTGCTCAGTCTCTTTACCCTCTCTTCCTCTCCTCTCTGCTCAGTCTCTTTACCCTCTCTGGTTAAAAAATAGAAGTTTTTATTCTCTCTCATTCGCTTTTAGTCTTAATTTCTCTCATTCGTTTTCGATCTCTCCCCTCAAAAATAGCATTTTTTAATTTTGGTCATTAAAAGATAGCAGTTTTTTTTTTTTGGAAAATGGGTTGAGGTTACAGTGGTAGTACACTCCAGCTTAGCTTTGAACACCACTGACTATTTTAAAAAAAAAAAAAAACAGATAGGGACCTTACATCTCCATTGAATTTGTAAAAAAACAAAAAAAAAAAAACAAAAAGACAAGTTTTCAATCCCTGGCCCCCTCTCTCTTTCTTAAATTGCAGGCCTATCTTAAAAATTCAAAGTTACCGCCCCCCTTTTTGACCATCATGGGTCAAATAACCCAGCAAAATCAGATTTTTGCCATAAACAAGTGCTCACTGAAGAAGAAAAGCCTCTATGGTTTTACAAAACTGAATCCCACAAATTTAGTCATGAAATTTCAAACTTTTTATTCTTAGATTGAAAATACCTGTAATTTTTTTTAATATTTTGTACATGAAGGCTGAAAAAATATTGCACCAAAACTTCAATTATTTTAAGGACATACCAGCTGGGTTCCAACCCAAGACCACAATTAAGAGCTATCAAATTGATCTATGGCTATAATCCCCAAAACCTTTGGTCCATAACTTGTTTCAGGTCTCGGTAACCAAATTTCCAAAAGGGCCTAAAACTAGTGGCAAACTTTCTACTAACATATATATTATTTGTGTCTGGAAACCGACGGTCATCTATTTTTACAATACTGCTAAGGGCAGATCGACAAAGGTCGCATATGTTAATTCTAGTACGTATAGAACAACAAACTCAATAACATTAGTGTGTGGGATTTTTGTTGCCTTAATCCTACCTATCCGATTAAAGATGAGACAAATATATTTGGAGAACAACAAACACCTAATCTTAATCGGACAGCATAGAATAAGTCAACCGTAACATCACACATTAAATACGACATTGATTAAATTGGTGGTGCTCGACTCTCCGCCGGCCGATCAAAGATCGTACCGCCGTTGTCCAAGCCATTTGAACTTAGAGAGAGAAAATGATTACCTAGAATATGATGGGCCATGTCCCTGAACCTTAGGTGGCGCTGGCCTTGCTGTGCATGGTGCTCTAGCACTAGAGAGAGAAGGTTGTATGAATAAAAAGTGACCAAAGCCCCAATTGTCAAGCACAAAAGCCCGAGCACCCAACCAAGAGAAGCAAGTGCAAAAGGCAGGCTCAATAGAGCAGGGGCAACAATGGAGGTCGTTAGGTGGTACCCACAATGAATCCATGAACCTGTTAGAGACAGAGAGAACCAAACAAAAGGTAAGGCAAGGGGTTTTTATTTTATTTTTGTTTAATTTTATTTTTTGGGTAATTTAGGGGGGAAGAGAGGCCCTATCCGTTTTTTTATATAGATTAAGGAGTTAGTTTTTTTTCATATTAATTAGAGAGTTGGCTTTTTTAAAGGTATTAATGGGTGGTGATACCGTAAGATTGTAAACCGCAACGGGGTAATTAGGTGTGAGGGTGCTACCACCACGACCCAACCTTTTTTTGAAACGATTTTTTTTTTTTTTTTGGTTAATTTAATTAGGAAGACAGCCGATAGCAGTTTTTAAGGTCTCAGCAAGAGAGAGACAGACCGATAGCAGTTTTTAAGGTGCGGGTCTCAGTAAGAGAGAGAGACAGACCGATAGCAGTTTTTAAGGTGCGGGTCTCAGCAAGAGAGAGAGAGAGAGAGTTGATTATTGAGAGAGACAGTGTTGAATATTGAGAGGGAAGGTACCTTCTGATTTGAGAACAAAAAGTGCCCCTGCGTCAAGGTCCTTCACTTTTTCTTCATTGGTAGTCATCTTCTCATTGATCTTCGAACTCTGAAATTCCTCACAAGATGTGTATGCACTATGCAGTGTTGGTCTCATAAATCAGGAGAGACAGAGAGAAGGACCAGGTTCGATGTATGTCTATGAAGTATGGTAAAACCAGGTTCGATGTGAACTCTGAAACCAGACTGGCCCAACCAGACTGCGGACTGGCCCGATTATTTGGAGACCATATATAAAATACCTATCAATCTTACCTATATATCCAAGGGTAACCTTCTACCATAGCCCCATAACCATGAGGGACGACCTTTTCAAGGTTGGAAAATGGTTTGATTGGGATATTGTTATTAGTCTCAACGATAAAAATTAATAAATAAATGAATAATTTACTCGGATTTATCTTTAAATCACATGAAAGACTTAAAGTTCTATATCACAACTTATAGTCCAAACCATCCGGTGACAAGCTACTTTGAGAGTCATCTTGGAATCTTCTTCACCTCTTTTCTATCCTTCCTTATTTTACTTAAGGGGTTAACGTCTTTTTATAGATAACCCTATTTTGTAACTCTCACATTCGTGGTCTATAGGAATTGAGATCCAATTATAACTCCTGCGTTAATTTCTTTATGTGCAGCCAATTATGATTAACAAGTTGTCATCAAACTGTTAATGCTATACAATGAACTAAACCTGTCGTTAGTGCACTAATGATTCATAATAAGATGTCATCTAAACATTCTTGTAACTTGATAAAAGATATTTAAAAATCAAATAATTTTGTACATCTATAATATAAAAAATTAATTCTTATAAGAATTCAAGCACATCACTAGGTTTTCCCTCCAGTGTAACATCCTATAAAAGCTCCAAAATAGATCATTGTATATGGCATTGCCTCATGTCACCACATGGGATTTCATGTATACTATTCAAAATTGTCTTTTGTAATATTATTGGAAAAAAAAAAATTCCCGCGATAAAAGGGCTTAATAGGCCATATTTTCAACATCTTCCACTTGGCCTGAATACCCTTTAACTTCTTATACATGGCATTGCCTCATGCTTTCTACATGGGATTTCTATATACCCAACCTAAAGGCTCTTTGACGTCTTATATATGGCATTGCCTCACGTTTTCTACATGAGATTTCCATCGACCTTGCCAATGTGGTCAAACATCACACTTGGATGTCATAGCCTCAATGGTTTTATATATGGCATTTCCTCATGCTACCTTCATGAGATTTCTCATATACCTTGCTAGAGTAGTCATACACCACACTTAGATTTCCTGACATCAATAACTTTGTATATGGCATTGCCTCATGCTATTTGCACGTGATTTCACATATACTCTGCCAATGTGGTCAAACACTACACTTGGATTTTTTTGCCTCTATGGTTTTGTATATAGCATTGCTTTATGCTACTTACATGAGATTTCTCATATACCTTACCAATGTGGTCATACACCACACTTAGATTTCTCTGGCCTCAATGGTTTTGTATATGACATTGCCTCATGCTACCTATATGAGATTTCTCATATATCTTACCAGAGTGGTCATACACTACACTATATAATGAACAACTATCACCAATATGATAATTCAATCTAATACATCATTATATATATATATATATATATAATATATATAATCTAAACAAAATATTCTTAACCTCTTTTTATAGATAACCATATTTTGTAACTCTCATATTTATAGTCTATTGGAGTTGAGATCCAAATATAATTCATGTCTTAATTTCCTCAAGTGTAACCAATTAGGATTAACAAGTTGTCATTAAATTATTAATCATATACAATGAGCTAAACATGTCATTAGTGCACTAATGACTGTCATAATAGAATATCATCCAAGAATTCCTGCAACACGATAAAAGATATTTAGAAATTAAATAATTTTGTACATCTATAATATAAAAATAATAATTCTTAAAAAGAATTCAAACACATCACTAGGTTTTCCTTCCAGTGCAACATCCTATAAACGCTCCAAAATGGATCCTAGTATATGACATTGCCTCATGTCACTACATGGGATTTTACATATACTATTCAATATGGCTTTTGTACCATTATTAAAAAAAAAAATTCCCGAGATAAAAGGGCCTAATGGGCCACATTTCCAACAGCTACCCTATCAAAATAAGTAAAGTCTTACCGCATAACTCATCAAAAATTCTAATCGAAGGGCTGGAAATCCTTTAAATCGATCATCTCGGCTTGGACATTATGGTTGTGAAAAAAAAATTGGGATTCCAAATTTAAAAATAGTGCATATTGCAAGAAATCATCTAGACCGTCCATTTCATCGTAAAAAGAAGTGGTAGAAAATCATCCGCAAGATCCGTAACATGTTTTAGTTTCAAATTTTGTTATCGGTGTTGGAATTGATTTTGGAACCATCATAGAGATTTCTGATGCCGAAAGTGCTTTTGAGATGAGGATTTGAGGTAAGGTTTTATTTTACTTTCATAAAGCCTAGGCTTTAGAGAAACTTCATCCTTTAACATTTGACTTGTATCTCTTGGTTTTATTTTAAAATGCTCATAAAAAATACATTGTACTGATTTGAAATAGTTTCAAATGAGTAAATTGTCGAATAGTTCATTTCTTGTGGATATTGTATTGAATTTTCTGTGTATAAAATAACCTTTGCAAAACTTATTCTTTTCATAGATTTCTTGCGGTCAAAACTGTCTTTATTTGTTAGTTGACCATTGTTTTAAAATATGGATGGGCAGCGTAGGTTGTTCACCTATAAATTTGTATCGTTTCGTTAGACCAGCAAGTTAGATCAAGAATAGATTGGTCCAAAATCAATAATAAAAAATATTCAAAAATAAATAAAATAAAATAAAAAATATGGGTTATGGGATGGAAATTTAGAGTAGGCCAATGAAAGAAATTATATAAGTTTTTTTAAAAAAGGTAAAAACATATAAATAAGATTTCAGCTCAGATCATACCATTCTAAAACCAGTTCAGTCCCGACTCCAACCAATTCCCATCTAAATATGTGAAAATCACCTAATATTGAATTATAAATTTCTACACGAGTACTAAAAAGATGTTGGATTTAAACTGTGAAAACGAGGGCATCTTGGATACTTTGTGTAGAACTAGGGTCCTTTTCTTGGCTTGGTGCCAGCCAACACTGTGGTTTGATGGTCAAACTTAGGTTGGTAAAGTGGCCGTCTTTTGTGGACATAAATCGAGCGCTTAGTCTTCCTTTCATACTGTACATCAAAGGAGGCAATTTTTTTTTTATTTTTTTTTATTTTTTATTTTCTTCTAATTGTAGGATCGGGTTCTGATCGGCCCCAAGTGGACCATCTAAATCGACTTCGATCCGGATCGGCTAATTCTGGTGAATCTGATAGAAATTAAGGAAAAAATAAAACTAAAATTGTTGCATATATCAGATTTTGATCATATAAAAAACATAGGTTTAAATCATTCTACATCAAATAAAAATTGCTTTAAATCAGACTGAACAATTGAAAAAATAAATTTTTTTAAAAAAATCAATTTTCAACATAGAAATAAAAGATTTGGATCTATTTAAAACACACATTTAAAATGATTTAAACATATCTAAATATATTTAGGAAAAAAAAACCAAAATTCAATAATTAGAATCCTAAATTTTTTATTTTGATGTGAAAAATGCTAGGGATATTATATATCATAATGGGATTTGAGATAAATTTGAAAGGATTTGGTGAAAAAATGAGCGAGAACTATAAGATTTTCAATTTTAGTATGTAATGCCCAAAAAAATGAAAAGGGGAATCGCCAATTCCTTATCTGAATCGATGTTCCATAATAGAATTTTTCAATTTTTTTAAAAAATGTGCTGGACCGACTTCAAATATTCAAATTATGTCCGTCCAGCATTAAATGCACCGTGCTAACTTATATTGAAATTGTGTCGGAGTAGCTTCCAAATTCAAGTAGTGTAAGTCCCACACAAAATGTACCAGCTTAAAGAGATAGTGGACATGTGGTTTAAAATGAGAGTATTTGGGTAAAAAAATAATCTAACTTATTTTTTTTTGAGATATGCCTACATAAATTTTCAAAAGATGAGGGAGTACATTGCACATTTACTCCCTTAGGTAAACCTCGCATGGAATTCGACCCAAACTTTGGGATCTAACCTCATCAATCCATATATTAATCTCAACAAAAAGGAGTAATTAATTCTCTATATGCATTTGAAAAAATAAAAAATGTCTTGAGATTGAATAGAGACAATCCAATTTTTAAATGCTGAGATCTAAGTAGTAAAAAACTCAAATTTGTTTTGAAACTAATCATCTAGTAATTTTTAAGTAGATCCCACAATATCATATTGAAAAAAATCCTCCAAGTAAGTTAAATTTTCGCCTGCTCTAAGACCTTGTGGAATTGTAAATATACTTCATTGTGGGGCCTCCTAAAACAAGGGAATCATTCCCAAATTTACTCTCTCTCTCTCTAAATTATCACATCCAATAAATGACATAAAGAATATGAATTAACTCAATGAAGGAGAACTGTGGTGGTTATATCGAAACTCAACTGTGAATAACAACACCAGTAAACTTAGCTAATAGCTAAATGTTAAAGATTATATAATTTTGAGACCAGTGAATAACAAGGCTCGATTTTAGATCAATACTAGTGTCTAAGTTAAAAATAAATAAATAAATAAATAAAAGAGTCCAACGAAAAAGGAAAGCTTTACATGTGGCTTCCATATACAAAGTACATGTGATCCTAGTCTAAGTTGTCAAATCTGAATAGATGATCAGTATGGCTTTGAGTTACAATATTAAATATTGACTTTTATGATTCAAGTGATTAGGGTATTTTAGTTATAATATTTATTCTATAAATCATTTTAAAGTGAAATTTGGGGCATATAAAAATAATAAAAAATGTTTTTTGATTAAAAATAACTAAAATACCCCTAAAAATTTTAATAGTATTTTGGTCATTTATTTTTATGAGAAATATTTTTCTTTTATTTTTGCTACACTCACCCCAATACGAAGATGAGATGCCCCACAATTCACACAAAAACGTTTTGTAAGAAAAATTAGAAAAAAATTAAAAATTAAAAGTAAAAAAAATGTTTGGCATAACATTGTGATAAGAGCAAGCCTAGTCATCCATTCAGATTGAATGGCTGATAAGTGAATCGTAAATAATTTATATGGTGTTGGGGTTAAGTAGAAAGCTTTCAATAAAATAAAAACAATATAACTTTTTTATTGTATGTGGCTTGGTTCTATTTTTGCGCTTTTAAAGCATTCATATCATGTGGATCTTGTACCATAAAAAAAAAGATATATCCTTTCAAATGCTTCAACGTAATTCATTGATGGAGGTGTTGGGCTATCATTGGAGAACCTTTTAATTGATTTTTCGACTTCAAGATGTGTGGATATGAAAAAAAAAACTTTAAATCTAAAAAATAGTCAAATTTGTAGTAATCAATTATTTGGACAGCCTGCTTTTAAGATTTTCAATTGTTTATGAATCTGCTCGATTTGTATAGTTTTAATTTTGACTTTCATAACTAGGAATACAAAAATATATCTTAAGATATTATAAGGTTTTCAACACTAAAACCACATTTTCAAACAGATTTTAGAAATGTGCCTTATTTCTATATCAAAAGTATAACACCATATACAAACCTCAACCTATTACAAAAAAACCCTTTACGTTAATAAATTTTTATTGTTAGTACTTTTTAAAAGACCCACGATTCTGACCTTCAAGGTCCAGAGTTAGAGTTACAATATATTTCTTGTCTTCTAAACTCAAGTTGACTAATTGGTCATCAAAATTTGGAGCCACTTCAATTTAAAAATTTGATTAGTTAGTTACCTAGTACCTCCTAGAAATAGATAGAGGGAGAGAGAGTGATAATTTCTTGAATTGAAATCCACTTTTTAATTGCTCTTTGCTTATTAAAAAATAAATGAAAATGTTTATCTAGGTTGTCAAGTAAAACTAAGGCAGCCTTAAAAATCCAAAGAAAAAAAATATTATAATGTTGAAAGACCTTATGGATCGTCTCGACCTCAAAATAAAAAAAAGACGAGGTTTGTATAAGGTGACGTCCTTATATTGTAGACGTATGATGTGTTAATCCTAGTAAAAATAATAACAAATAAATAAGATTGAAATCGATAAAACAACTTATTCGGATCTGTCCTTAAATCACACGAAGGACTTAAGGTTCCATACTAAAACCTATAGATCAAGCCATCCGGTGACAGGCTACTTTAAGAGTCCTCTTGGTGAATCTCCTTCCCATTTTGTTCTATCATTATCTCTCTTTTCTAGAGGGTTAACATCTTTGTATAGAGAACACTTTTATTTAGTAACTCTCACATTCATCGTCTGTAAGAGTTGATATCCAAGTGTAATTTGTGTCTTAATTATCTTAAGTGCAGCTAATTAAGATTAACAAGTTGTCATCAAATGGTTAATCCTATGTAATGAATTAAATATGTCATTAGTCCTCTAATGACTCAAATAATAAGATGTCATCCAAGCATTTTCACAATTTACAAGGAATCTAAACATACCACTGGATTTTTCCCCCATTGATATTGGATTTTTCCCTCCAGTTTTCATGTTAACCGCATGAGATTTCATATATACTTCAATATGACTTTTGTACCATTAGTGAAAAAGTAAATTTTTCAGGAGAAAAATGGCCAGATAGGCCACATTTCCAACCTGATGTAACTCTAAAATTTACCAGGAAATATAGTTTAATTGTAGGAAATCTTATCATAGTAATCTATTTTTATCCATTGTTACAAAATTTAAAAGTTAAAAAATATAATATAGATCAAGCAAATCTATAAATAATTAATTTAGATAATTAATATTTTCAAAACTAAAAATTATCTAAGCGTTACCTAAATAGTTAGATGTGCTATTTAAAACTTAAAATTCCCTTCGCATGAGAATAACATCGATGTGCTATTTTTAAAACTTGAAATTCCCATCGCATGAGAATAACATCGAGGTCAAGATGATAGTTCAGAAGGCTCTCCGACATGAGAATAATATGATCAACCTTTTAGGTGCACCAAAGTGGAAATCTTAAAACATTTTCCCAATTGAAAACCCTAGAAAGAAGTTTGGGGCCTCAATTTATGTAATAACCGGAGGGTTTAAATTGAATGGTTTGAGAACCTCTGTGTTCTCTCTCTGACTCTCCTTCTCTACTTGCGTTTCTCTCTCTATCTCTGCAACTGAAGTCTCTCTCTTTAGAAAAGCCATGGCGAAAGGGGACGATGCTTTGAGGAAGAAGCATAACAAAGTGTTACGGAAGAGGATGAGAAAAGACGCGCCTGTCTCTGCACGCATTGCATCTGTAATCGCAGCGAAGCGCAGGCGCAAAGCGGGAAAGAGAAGAATGTGTGAGGTATTATTCCTATTTATATGTATATGTTCAGTGCTTCTCCATTATTATTTTCTTCCTTTAATCATTCTTTAGAAGTTGACATTAGTATTTGTTGTATTTTTTGGTTTTCATATCTTAGTGGATTAGGGTAGAAAACTGTCAAGGGAAATTATGGAGAAGCTTTATGTGAAATTTAAACCATCGTGTAGTTTTAAGCACAAATTGCAGCTTTTTGACTAGACAAAAGTTAGTAAAAGATTGTGAAGTTGCGAAGGAGTTTGTGACTGAGCGGCGTGTGTGGATTCAACGAATTGTATGGCGACTCTTTTGTAAGTTCTTATGAGATTGGAGTAAACTATATGCTGTATTGTCAGTTAGGAAGATGGGTTCCAATTGTCCTACGTTTCTCAAAAGATTAATTCACTAATCGCAGTGCGCTTGTTGCATGACCCCAAATGAGTTATTCTATAAAATTCTGCTAAATGTGAGGGAGTGAATTTTGTAATTTTCTCTTGCATATTTAATGAGTAGTCTAGAAATTCCCACTTTAGTTGAAAAAAGTAAAATGTCTTGAGTCTGGATAGTATCTCAACTTGGGTTGTTCTTTCCATTTTCATTCAATAATTAAATGTGTTACCCCCCACAATGTTTTATGTCTTATTCAATTTTTTTGTCTTCTAAGACTCCCTATGTTCAAACCATTCCAACTAGTGTGGGCAATCTTGATTAGCGTTTGCCAACTTGATGGACCGTAGTTGCTTGGGCCCAGTAACCTACTGGGCAAAACACTTCCCAACTTGAGGGGCATATATAATGCATACAGTACTCAGGCGAGTATTGTAGAGACCTGCCCGATTCTGCGGAACTTGACTGACTCATGCTAGTTTGCCTTTAACTCCGTAAGTCCATATAGTACTTGCCTGAAGACCATATGTACATGAAATATATAGGGGGCACAAATCCGTTCTCTTGTTTTGTTCTTTTTTCACCCCAGAGATGCCAGCTTCAGCTCAAAATTTGGCGATAGACTCAGTCTGCGTGATCTGTTGACTACATAGGGAAGATTTGAGCAAAAAACGTCAGATTTATTGGATCCAAGAGATCGAGGAATTCGATGTATGTTTTTCCCGATTTTGGAAAGTTGTGAGTTCTTCGCAACGAGTAATCATTCTTCTATGAATTTTGTCTCCTAAGCCAATTTTTAGGTTATTAATCCAATCATCGGCTTGTTTCTCAGAAAAAATACGTAAAAAATTGGCATTTGTGGAATTTTAAATCGGTATTTTCTATGAATCCAAAATTTTCAAGAGCGCAGATCACCTAGATTAGAAATTGAAACCCAAATGTGGTTTAGGGATTTTGATTGGGGTTATCTATGGAGGCTTTGACAAGGATTGAAGGCATCAACTTGCACGGAGCATGAAGATTGGGGATTGGCCTAAAATATTCGCATAATTTTTTACAACATATGTAATTGAATTAATTTTTCAGGAACTTTACGATAGAAGTCCCCGTACAAGAGCGCTACAAGAAAAAGCTCCCTTATTCTTCATTTTACGTTGAAGTCCCACTTTCTTGCATTTTTTAATTTTTCTCCCAAGCTATCCCCCATTGGGACATTCATTGTCCAAATCAAATTTATTTATTTATTTAATGAATAACGGCTGGGTAAAGGCTGGGTCCCATTTTTTCCAAGTGAAAGTTGGGTTCAGTACTTGAAGGTCCAGATTCAGTTTTCAGTCATAAAAATGTGTGTTGGGTTCGGACATTTGAAGTTCAAATCCAGAATACATTTTTTTCGGTGAAAGGGTTCAAATCTTCAAGTTCCATGCCCATTTTTTTTAATATATGATCACTCCATCCTTAGCTCAATGAGGCAGCATGGTGAATGAAGAAGATGATGGCTTCAGAGGGATGGGTTTCTGCACCTATCTCAAGAAGTTAGATTGAAAGAGAGGTTGAAAAATGATTAATAACCACAGTTTGGGATAGTTCAACTAGGTTGTTATTGCCATTGCTCCAGTTTTGCAAGTCTTGAGGTTGGTTCATTCAGTTCTTAAGCCTGTCATGAGATTCTTGTATGAGGCACTGGATTATTCAAAACTGACTATACAAGCCAATTGCAAATTCCACGCTAAAGTGTGGGACATCATTGATGAGAAGTGGCTAGGACACACAAATTGCCATATCCATGCAGCCAGTAATTTCCAATTTATATTCATATTCTCATATATAAATTTGTTGGCATATTTGTGTCAGCCATGGATGTTTGTTGATGTATTTATTCTTTTTTTAGCCAATGATGTCACTATCAACTCGGTCAAAGCGAGCAATTGAGATCCTGGAAGGGGTGATGTATATTGGAAGATTAGAGCCAGATGAGGATGGCGTAATTGAAGCTTTAATAGGCTTTTGTTTAAAACTTTAAAATGTGAAACAATGTTAATTTTAGCCCGTTGTAGTTTATAAATTGAAAATATGTACTTGACGTTTTAGCTTGATTTGTATACATAAATACCCAAGGCGAATTTGGGTCCAATCTTGTGAGAAGCAAGCACATGTAGAATCAGTTCAGATTTTGAAATTTCATGAGTCATAATCCTAGTATAACTTACCATTGCTTCAAAAAAAATAATCCTAGTATAACTAGTATGTTTGATTGTATTTGACTAATTTATCATATGTGTTCACAGCTAGATGGTAGGAGGTAAATGGAGGCAACACCCTTACCCAAGAAGGGTTGCAATCAGGATCATTAGCCAAACTTTTTCCAATGGATCCATGCCTCAATGATGAATAGGTTGAAAACTGAGAGGTTTACAGCCTAGTATATAGACTATTATAAGCATAAGGCAGTTGAAGAGGGAGGCCAAGGATTATGAGCCCATCAGTTTGGATTACATATTCCAAGAGGATCTAGCAGAGGAACTAGTGGAGCGAGAAGAACCAATAATCAACAAGAGGGTCCTTGGAGATCAAGTTGTTGGTGAGGTAGATGATGTCCAAGGAGGGGGGATGTTGGGAGACTCAGTAGGAATCACAATTAGATGAAGTTGAGGAGGCCAAAGATGATAGGACTCTAGTAAATAGGGGGGCCAAGATATTACAGGCTCTAGTAAATACGAGGGACAAGGCGGTGGGTGACAAATCCAAGGTAGTGAGTGATAGAGCCAAAGTGGGAGTGAGCATAAGGACTTTACCAGCCTTGATGACTTTGGGTTGATTACTCCCATGATACACTGACATTTGGGAAGGACCCCCTCCCTGACACCAATATTTTTCTATTGATGTGCTCTATGTGAGACTGTGTGTTTGTGTCTATGAGGCTGTCAATCTAGAATTTGTGAAGTGGAAAGTAGATTAGCACTCGAATAGTAAAAAACTATATGTTATAGTATCATTTGGTGTTACATTAGATTTTCAGATAATTTTAGTGGGTACAACCCAATAATATCAATTTTTAATTATTTTCTATCTTTTGTATATTTTTTCATGTTGTTTTTCATTTTTTTGACTTTTAATAAATGCTTCTGATTTTAACAGCTTTGTCAAGATTTTCCTGGATTTTTTTTTCAAGATTTCTTGGGGCTCTTTGGACAACTTGGTGCTGACTTAGGCAAGTTGACTTGGATGACTCATCAAAAAATCTGGGGCCCAAGTTCCGTAACTGAGCCTTGTTTTCAAACACTGATGTAGATTGTTGGATATTTTTTAGAATTTGAAGGATTAACACCATCAAATACTCATTTAGACAGATGGATTGCTCAGAGAATGGAGGAAGTAGGTTTTTTCTTACATCTATATGTTGTCCTCTTATTATTCTTGTTACTATTATTGTGAATATTAGAAAACAAGGACTTGGGGTGGGAGTCATTAGGTTCCCGAGCTTGAGTCACGTTTGACAGACTCAGTTGAGTGCAAACAAAAACTAAGAAAATATTGGGAACCATCAGTTACATGTATTTGATACAGACCTAGTAACCTGTCGAGCCCTAGTAACTCAGACGGGTTCGAGTCCGACTCGTTGAGTTTTCCAACATTGTTTGATGTTGTTGTTCACTACTTGAAATGACTATACACATGGTTTCTAATCTTCACCAATAGTGGGAAACTGGAAATCATAATTGGAGTTCGACTCTATTTTCCTTGTCCTATGCCTGGACAAGAGATCATTCAAATTATGATGGATGTCTAGTATAAGCAATGAAAGATTACATAGCTTCTACTGAGTAATCGTCCCCTGGGCAAGTGAGTGACATGGGTGAGTCTGAATCGACTTGCTGGAGTCCACGTAGAGTAGCCTAAAGAGCTAAAAAAAAGAGTAAAAATTGCAAAAACCTAAAAATATAAAAATAAAAAACCGTACACAATTAAAAAAATATATTAAACATGGAATATGAAAGAAACTTCATGTTGTTGGCTTAAAAAAAAAAAATCTGTAAGAGGGAAAAAATAGAAAAATATAGAAAATGAAAAGTATAGACAATATTAGCAATTATAATTAGTAACAAAGAAATCAATTTTGTGAATAAAAGCCCCAAACCAGATTTGTGTTTTGACTTGGGATCTAGCTGATCTGAGCCCATAAAAAATTTAGATGAATAGTAAATCTGAATTTGAAATATCTCAATCCTAAAGGTTTTTCTTTAAAGAAAAGTTTATTGTTGGGTGAAGAACTAAAAAATAGCTTAGGGAACAAATTTAATTGAAGATTGACAATCCATTATGAAGAAATCATATCTTTCGGAATCCGAAATCAGGCAAAACCTTTGCCAAAAGCATCAATTTTTCAAATTCGTCAAATTTGATTTTTTTTTTTCACAAATCTAATCTATTTGGTGGATATATCAGGCAAAAATCAGTCCATAGACCAAGCGTGGAACTCAAATCCAACTCTTTAAGCTTGAAATCCCGATATGAAGTAAAAAAGGGGAAGGATTTGGTCTGCCGTTTTAAATTGCTTTCTGCATAAGTGCTCGGGGTGGGTACTGTACAAGGTATATATAACCTCCCAATTCGAGCGGTGTTTCAAGTTCAGCAAATCGCTAAGCCCCAATGACTCCATCATGGCGAGTTTTATTACAGTTATGAATATGTTTGTCATTTGTTTGTTAACAAGATGAAAGTTACATGGCTGGAAGAAAATAGGTGGTGTTTTTGTGGTTCTTGAATTTTTGAAATCAAAGTTGGGTAGATTGGACTTTTGCACTCGTATAGTGATAAATAAACATATGGAAGCTTGCTCTAGACTTTTGCTGTCTTTCAATAGTGTAGGCTAGTGGGCAATGATACATATATGCCTTTATAAGTCGTGAAATGCTACTTTAAATAACTATTTTGAGGGGATGCTGATGAACAAGTTGGACAGGTATTCTACGTAGGTGGTTGTAGCTGGTATTTAAAACTTATGGAAGCCTTCTGGACGGCTTTTAATTTTGGTAAGAGTGATTCTTGTGAAATCTAGTAGTTGCAAGGTGAGCGAATTATTTTTTAAGCCAGGATAGGAAGGTGGACTAAGTCGACAATTTTGTTGCAGCCTTGTGGAGGGAATTAGAGGACTTCTTTAGCATTATTTGAAGCTTGTTGAGATCGAGGTTGATTCTCAAACCTTATGGGTGGTTCTGCCATGTGTATGTTTCCCTTAGGTAGTGCATGGACAAGTTCTTTCATATAGGAGATTTCCGTTTTTTTGTTTTTCCTTTTGGATAAGTAATATTGGTACTCATAAGAAAACAAACCAATTAATGATAAAGTTGAGACTCAGTTTGGGACTTTGAAGGTACAGGTGTGGACCTGATGGAATGTTGTAATAATAATGTTCATAAGTTGTATTCATTTATGGTTGAAGTCTTTACAAGGAAAAAGACGTTAGTGTTGCCATACTATAAATGCTTGCAAATCCATTTGGTAACTAGTCCTGGAAAGACATCCATATAACACAGGTTCTTATTTTAATTTGGTTCTAGTAAATTTGGAACTTAGTTTGGTCCTAGTTATTTTAATATGGATCTAGTTATAGTCTGGTTCTGGTTATGTCAATACGGCTCTAGTTATTGCATTTGAATTAATTATGATTTGGATGGATTTATTTTGTAGGGGATGTGTTTTACTCTTCCAACTCCTGATGATCCATTCAATGATAAGAATGACAAGAAAGCTCGCAACAAACCCGATCCCAAAAGTCTTACTTCTAACAAAGTTGATGGAGGGCTATCTCAAGCCAAAAAAGTGAAGACTTCTGAAAGCCATGAACTGAAAAACTCCATTAAAAAAGACTTGGAGGAGAATCACAAGAAATCATTTTTTCTTGCTAAAAAAGGGCGGACAGATCTTTTAGGGCCTGAAAAGCGAAAGAGTACAGCAGGTGATGGAGTTGGAGGGGTCAATCCAAATTTGGGGATTCCATCTGTGGGTTCAGTTCCAAATTCTCTGTTTTTGTGCTTGAATGCAATACAAAGTGCATGGATCCAAGCTGATTCCCTCCCAGAGAGCTTGAAAACCTCTTTGTTTAGTAACAAATGGGGAATTGAATTTTGGAAGGCTTTTTCTGATGGGTTTGACATTCTGGGGGTGACCGAAGCTTCTTTAAATAGAGAGCATGTTGCATGGATCGTTTCCACCGCTGCTGTTATCTTCGCTACAACTGAGAAAGGTCTATCCAGCAGCAGCCCCTTCCTCATATATCTTGTGCCATCTCAAGACATAGCTACGAAGGTCTGGAGTGGTACTGTTTCATATTCTTTTTCTGAAGAGTTTTGACTTTCTCTGAGTGGGAGTTGTGTTCTATGGTTTCTATGTTTAGTGGTTATATTCTTGTTCTTTTGCTTAAGATCAATGATGACCTTGTGCGATCTCTGTTTCTTTCCTTTTAAGGGTATCAATCAACCATTAAATAGTGAAAGGATATTGTGTTGGAAACTTGGAATGTTGAAAAGAAAATGCTTTGTTTTTTGTATCAACTTGGTTTTGACTATGGACTCTTGTTTTTATATCTTTGAATTATTGGATGCCGAGATTAAGTGCAAGCTTTTTTGTGTTTCTGGTGCATGTTACTTTGGAAAAACGGTGCAAATGGCAATCTGCTATTACTTAATAAGAAACACCCAATTTCAATCTACGAGCAGTAGCACTATCATTTTACAAGTCACTTATTAACATACAAGATGACCATGAGCCATAAATTGTAGTACATCCAGTTTATGCACACTAATCTATGTTACTTGAATGCTTCAAAGAGCAAAGTTTTTGCAGCAGCAATAGACTATGACCCTTGAAGTACCTTAGGCTGCTTATTTATATTATTTAAAGAAGAAGAAAAATCAATGAGGTTTTAACTTGAGTAAACTGATTGGCGATATCATTGACTGCCCCATTTTACTTTATTTTATTTTGTTTAGGTATGGATCTAGAAAATGGGATAACTGAGGAATTTATTGGTTTTTTTTTTTTTTAATTTCTTTAAGTGTTTTTTATTATAAATTCTTTTAACTAAAAGATATGTTGTTCCCTTTGTGTGTGTTTCCATTCACCCTTCCAATTTTTTTGGGTAGTTTAGATGTTAAAAAGGTTGGGGCAGCAATATTAAAAGTAACGTTGTCTTGTCTTTTATTTAATATGGTTTCATTATATTCTCTTTTGCAGGTGAGATCACTTTGTAAACCACTTAAGGCGATTGGGTTTCATACAGTGAGCATACATCCAGGAGCGCAGCTAGATCATCAACTGCATGGGTATTTGTTTAACCCTTATTTGTGTCTGATTTTCATAGAGATTATGATAACCAGCATTTTATGTTTGAAAGGAGTCAACCAGAAATAAAATATTTTATTAGGTGACACATTGTGCATCTACTTGTTATAGCACATAAACATCTGTCTCCTTAACTTGTGAATCCCAAAGGAGCTCTCGGAACTTCAGCCACATGCCAAAAGCCTCGTTTGATGGGAAATTCCATGTTGCTAATCCAGCACTAATCCTACAAAATTTGTTTTATTAGTTTCATCTTTCGATGTCATTCATTTCAATCCGAGCCTTCTTTTGATGCTTAATCTCATAAACATTCCTAAAATATCCTTGTTATGGGCTTTGTCGTTGTTGTGGACTCAAGATATCTGCATTCTTTATCTACACACTTCCAGATTAGTAGAATTGTTTTTATTTGTTCTTATCTATCATGTTGTGTCCGATGGGTATTCCAATGTTTGGGGTGTCTGTTTGCGTCATTTAAGGCATTACTTTCTTAGTCAATTTTATTGTGAGATTGTGGTGCACATCTTATTTTGAGGACTGCTGTTCCCACTGTGATCCTGGGTTATGAATATTTATTTGCAGGCTGAGGAGTTGCAAACCTGAATTTTTAGTGGCCACTCCTGAAAGACTCCTTGAACTAGTTTCCCTAAAGGCACTCAGCCTATCTGATATCTCAATGTTGGTAAGAATACAGTTCCTCTTTCCTACTAGAGGGCTATATTCTGAATGGTATTGTGTTGTATTTGGACCTCGAAATTCAAAATTTTATATGTATTCTATTCCTCTGGCTTGCTGCTTCATCATCATCGAAGCCTTTTCCCGACTAGTTGAGGTTAACTTGCTGCATATTGAACTTTTTTGTTTACCTTTATGGGTTGGTTCTGATTTAAGTTTTGTGATTTAACAGGTTATTGATGGCTTAGAGAGTTTTATTAATGGTGGTCTTGAGGATACTTTAAAGCTCTTGAAGCAATGGGTTTCTAAAGTTCACAAGACTGTCATTCTTAGTGACAAGTATGGAAGCACAGCCATTCAAATAGCTCAGAGCCTCCTGAAGCCACCATTCAGGAGGCTATTTATTGATAATTCTATCATCAGTGAAAGTTTGGGCATCTATCAACACCCATACGTGTGTATGTCAGATGAAGCAAAGACATCAAAGGTTTGTTTTTTAGAATTTAAATAAGGAAAAAGTTTATATAAGGTTGCAATGTTAAAATGTAGAACTACTGATGCACCTAAAAATCCATCAAAAAAGGTTGTTTTAATATTGAAAAACCCTCTAATTGATCATCTTGACATCAAGATGTATGACTATAAAAAAAACAAAGATTTTGAGTCCCAGAAATGGTGCATCTTACAGCACATTATCTAGACTGTCCATTTTGAAGATTTTCATATGTTTATAGATCTACTTGATTTTAATCATTTTTGGAGTTAAAAAGTTTATAATTAGATATGCAAATAGATTTTGTGATATTCTTAATAATATTTTAATCAAAATTATATGTTATGATAAAATTTGAAGGTGCACCTTAAATGGATTGTTTAAGGTTGCAACCTTATGGAAACCACACCCTTTAAATAATCTTAGCATTTAATCTAATGAGAAAAGTTTATATAAGGTTGCAACCTTAAAATGTAGAGTTAAAGATGCACCTGAATAATCCATTGAAAAAGGTTGTTTTAATGTTGAAAAGCCCTCTAATTGATCATCTTGACGTCGAGATGTATATATATATATATATATATAAAATGTTTTTGAATACCTAAAATAGTGCATCTTGCAATACATTATCTAGATCGTCCATTTTCAAGATTTTCATATGTTTATAAATTTACTTG